CTGCCATTTGATATAAATAAATAAATATTTGTCAGAACTTCAAATATTCCATTACCATATTTCCAAAACTACTCGAACAGAAAGATGACGTCGATGTACGATTTAAGTAAAAACCTCTTGAAAAAGTTCAAATACAAAGAAAAACTACAAAAAAGCTGAATTTTTAAAAAAACGGTTCAGAAAATCACAAATTCGAAGCAAAGGATTTGCGATGCGAAGAGGGAATTATGCTATTATTTTTATTTTAATTAAATACGAGATTTATTATTGATATTCATACTTTTCAGACTCAAGCGAATTTGTCCATTTCTCATTAGAATTGTCTTAAGTTTGAACTGACCTAGTTGCAATACAGAGATTTATGCTCTCTTCTGGCATTACCAGTTGCCAAATTATTATTTCACACTTGAATGACACTATTCCGCTCCCTTTTTGCCTTGTACCTTTCCAACAGGCAAAGCTAAGGCCGCATACTTTTCGCAGATGTGTACACGGAGGTGTTTGAAATTTACGCTTACTCATGTCAAGGTTTTTACCTTTAGGGAGTGAACTTCTTTTGATCCTTTCAAAGCACATTCTTCGCATTAATAAAACTATTTTTATGAAGATAATTCAATTTTAACGGCCAACTTTACATTTTGACGCCATTTACGGACCAAATTCTGCACGTGCGCACATATGGCTAGATCTTTGCATGCTATCCGTTAATTCCTGGCTGTAAGCCATCATCTGCTTATCTAGATACTACTGTTACTTTACAATTTTTGAAAAAAACTGTGCTATGATACCTACTACACAAGGTCAGATTTATCTGTTGCCACGATTTTCCCTCAAATCTTTTTGTAAAAATCTCCCATTTTGGCGCTGAAACAAATATTTTTAACAGAAGTTAATGCGGCTTCCAATTTTAGGAAGTGTAAGTAGAACACTTGAATAGTGAATAGTGAACAAGGTTACCTTGAGGAGTAAATCCATTCTCAGTGTAATCTAAATTATAATAATTTAAGCGAACTTCATATGAAGTGTTAGAGTTGCCAGATGAGAAAAATTTCCTCTGGACGTCATTGCTAAAAGCGTAGTTTAATCGATTGGTCAATGAGCTTACTCAAAAATCACAAATCCAAATCTTGAAATTAGAATTTTTACAACCCAAGACAATGGCATAATCGAACTACTGTTCATTGAGTGTAAAGGTTAATAAATTGGCGGTTTCAGAAATTTATACCAGTTCTCCTCTCTTGTGCCATGTTTAGCTACTGTTAAATGATTGAAAGTTGTAAATTTTCTCGCTTTGCAATATTCAAAAATAACACTGAACTCTACTTGAGTTTTGATTTGTTATCTAAGCAACAATTATTGACTTTTGTGTGACCAACTAACACATAATGGGCTGGGATTGTTTCTAGTTAAATTCTACCGAAAGTCCAATTTTACCTAGTTTATTCAAGCATAAGTAACTATACATTGTACCTCAATTATTAGGTATATTAGGTAGATGGCCAACCTCCATTTATCATTTAGCATCGGCTTAACCGCGGACGTTCCCAGATTTTTTTCCTCAGCCCACAAGTCAAATGCTGAGTCAAGAGGCTTCTCCATACCTTAATTCAATTGGAATTGGCATCACAACTACTTGCCCTACCCACGGAGAAGGATAAAAAGAACCCAAAGCGAACAAAAATGGAATGAAGCACCGTCGAATTTCGAGAAAAAATAGGCGTATTGAGATAGTTAGCGAGAGACCCCCAACGAAGATAATGAGTCATTTCGGACACCGCCTCCCTCCCCCCCGCCTCCGCGCCATCATCCCTATTCTCAACTTAAACGCCGTCAGCCGCTTTTCCACCTGTGCACTAGACAGGAGGAGGATGAGGAGACAAGGCCATAAAAACGATGCGGTGTGGCGTTAATACTCACCTCTCGGTCAAAAAGTTGTCAACGGAGTAGTCTTCCCTCGATGTGGTATTTACTTGACACATTACCCTAGAACGACTGTTTTAAATGAGGACGTTTGATTGAAACTGACAATTACACTGGTGGGATTTCAATTATTATTTAATATGTGCGGATGCCAAATATTTATTCTAGAGAGGCAAAAGAGGTTTCAATTTTATTAATAATAGCAGAGGCAAGTAGCTTCAATGGAAGGGGAATTCATATTCGGGACCCCTTAATATAATTGATTTAGTGAGTCCTGTTACGTTACAAATCAATTGAAGCTTCGGATGATTGTAGTGGGAAGATATGAATAGATCGACTTGGCCTTGAATAACCACAGAATTAAATCAAACCTTCCAGAAGTTTGGACTATAGTTAATGCTGGGATAAATGCTGGGAAAACTGTGGTTTAATGGAATGTGGACAATTTCATTGTCTCATAGATCAACAAAAATATGACTTTTTGATGTTCGAATTTCGATGCTTACTTCATCTTGGCGCTCTCCTAGTGGACCAGTTAGATCTTTAATCTGAAAAACTCTCCAAGTACAGAAATATGAATAAGTTTAACTACTTATTATTACGTCTATAATCAGATACTGATACTTTTGAGTTGCAGGTAAATTTAAGTTTTAAGCTGCAAATAAACCATACTTCACCATTTAGACTTTAACTTCACATACGTGTTCCAAATGCTTTTTAATTGAACTGTTATGATATTTACAAGGATTCACTGGGCAAAATTTCATTCTTTAACTTGGCGATTTTGGCTTATGTGAATGCCAGTCTAAACAAGGAAAACCAATAGAGAGAGAGAGGAGATTTTTACCCAATTCTTTTCTTTTCCAACTCTCAGATATTTTTTTTACAAAATTGACTATATGCATGACAAAGTCTGCTCTCACTCATGCGTTTCCTTCCTCCACGTGTATGTCACAATGTCACAAAGTGGCAGCACGTAAAATGACGAGGAAGAAAAGGAGTCAAGACTGTACCTCACTCCTCGCCTGTCTCATCAACTTCATTAAACATGAGATGCTTCTTTTCTTTCATCACCCCCCCCACCCCCCCCACCCC